AACGAAAAAACAAAACGGAAACTGCAAGCCAAACATAACCATAATCGTAAAAGAAAATCGCCAGATTCCGGTAACTGGGACCGGTTGTTTCAATGACTTTTAAATGTTAGAGCGTCGGACGTTTTGTAGTTCTAATGTGAGACTGTTCCGCTGATATAAGGACTTTTGAAAATAAGCCAAGGAATTTATTAAAAAAAAAAATCAGAGATAAAGACAGAGCCTTTATCATTCATATTTTTTTAAAAACATATTCTAAAAGACTGACTGATTTCTGAAAGAATATTTTTTCAGGGTCCACAAGACATTGATTTTTTAAAGAATATTGCTTTCAAAACCCAAAAAATATGGATTTTTAAAAATAATACCTTTCGAGAACCAGCATTTATAGATTATTTCAAGAGTATTTTTTAAGACTAACAGAACTTTCTCACAGACTTGGATTTTTAAGGACCAATAAGGACCAATTGATAGATTTTTAAAGGATATTTTTCACATTGACAGTGAGACGTGATATTTTTAACAAAATGTTATTTTTCTAGGATGCAGATTCTTGAACATAGACTGATTTAAATGTCCACGATTAAAGCTCTGTTTGCCCCTGCAAAATATGTTTTAAAAATTCACATTTCCCGTCATAATGGTTTTTGAAAAAAATAAGTTTTAGTCCTGTTGGTCCTTTAAAAATTAACATTTCAGATCTGGTTTGTCCATGAATAAATTTGTTTTCAAAATCCAGGATTTTAGTCAAGTTAAACCTTAAAAATATGTTCTAAAAATCCATGATAACAGACCCAAGTCCTTAAAAAATTATATTAGAAAATCCACGACCATAGTCCAGTTGGTCCTTAAAAAAAAAAAACAATTTTAAAAAATCCGAGTTTACAGTTCTGTTGGTCCTTGAAAAAATTTGTTTGAAGAATTTACAATTTTATTTATTCTTGGTCCTTAGAAAGTATTATAGTCCTTTAATATATAATCTGGGATTTTTAAAACATTTTTTTTTCAAGGACCAAAGAGACTATCGTGATATTTTTAAACATATTTTTCTAATGACCAAGAGTACTAAAATAGTAGATTTTCCAAACTATTTTTTTAAGGACTTACAGAACTGTAATCGTGAATTTTTAAAATCACTATTTGCAAGGACTAACAGGATTTTTTTAAGGAGGAGCCCATAGAAAAATATTTTTTGTCCTGTTAAACCAGGATTTTAGTCGAGTTAAACCCTAAAAAATATGTTTTGAAAATCTTCAATAATAGTCCCAAAAGTCCTTAAAAAGCATTTTTAAAAATCCAGGATAAGTCCTGTTGTTCCTTAAAATAATCTTGTAAATAAACCTGGATTTTAGTCCTGTTAATCCTTGCAAAAAATGGTTTAAAAATCAACAGTCCTGTTGGTCCTTGATAAAAAATTTTTTAACTCTTTATTTTAGACCAGTTTGGTTTTTTTCCGGAACCTAAGACGTTGTTTTTCATTATTATTTTTTTTTCTAGGACCAATGGCGTAGTTTTTATTTTTTTTTCTGTGATTTTTAATTTCTTTTTTCGAGGATCGAAGACATGGATTTTTCAAAAAATAATATTTTTTTCTAGGACCAAAGACGTGGATTTTTTGAGAGAATATTTTTTCCTAAGACCAATGACGGGTATTTAAAAAAAAGGATATATTTTCCTAGGGCCAAAGACGTGGATTTTTAGAAAACTATTTTTTTCTAGGACTAAAGACGTGGATTTATAAAAAAAAAAAAACAAAAAAAAATATTTTTTTCTGGAAACAAAGACGTGGATTTATTAAAAAAAAATATTTTTTCTGGAACCAAAGACGTGAATTTATTCAAAAACTATTCTAAGACTAAAGACGTGGATTTAAATAAAAAACTATTTTTTCTAGGACAAAAGACGTGGATTTATTAAAAAAATATTTTTTTTTAGAACCAAAGACGTGGATTTTTTTAAAAAATATTTTTTTCTAGAACCAAAGACGTGGATTTATTTAAAAAATATTTTTTTCTACAACCAAAGACGTGGATTTATTTAAAAAATATTTTTTTCTACAACCAAAGACGTGTATTTAATTAAAAAATATTTTTTTCTAGAACTAAAGACGTGGATTTATTTAAAAATCCATTTTTTTTCTCAGCTTTTCGGATTTTTTAAAAAAAATATATATTTTCTCAGAAAAAAATCGTGGATTTATAAAAAAAAATATTTTTTCTTAGATTCTCAGATTTTTTAAAAAATATATATTTTTTCTATAAACATTTTCTCTGGTTTTTCGACCTTTTTCGATGGTTAATAAAAATAATTATTTGAGCTTGAGGTCAAACTTTTTGGTTTTTTAATTATTTATTTTTCTTTTTCCAATATTTCGAAGCTCTTTGAGTTTCATCTTCAGGGTGATCTACAAATTAAATAACAAAACATACAACATATTAACATTATCACAGCACAGGACATAAACATGTAAAAAAACGCTTACTTGCAAATAATTAAAATAATAAACTTAAAACTAGCGTAGTGTGACTACTACCGTCAAGTGTTACTATTGCACTGATAATTATTTGCATATTGCACGATCTCTTTTTGTTAAATGCCTGTAGCAGTAAGCTGTGTTGTCCGTGTCTGCTTTGCTGTTTATTCTCTTTGTTGTTGATAAACTATTGATGTGAAGCATCTCTATCGTTAGTCTCTTGTTGTAGTGATGTTCCGTTTGTAACACTCTCACGTCATCGATCTTGGGTGTATGGTTGTACTGTTTACAGTGTTCGGCTAACGCTGTTTTTTGTATCGAATTATTGTTTCTTAATTTGATGTCTGATTTGTGTGCTGACATCCTAGTTTTTAGTTTGTTTTTTGTTGTGCCAACGTAATGTTTTCCGCAACTTTCTTCCTTGTTACCACCACATTCAATTTTGTAAACTACATTATGTTTGTCCATTTTTGGTATTTTACTTTTCATGTTTGTGAATAAAGATTTTGTTGTGTTATGTGAGCTATGTGCTATTGTGTATTTATTTTTGTCATATATTTCTGACTTTTCCAATCTTTCTGATATATTCGGTAAATATATCAGGGATTTGTATATCTTCGGCGGGTCTGTTTTCTGCGAATCTCGACTTGAATGTTTATTCTTATAATAATTTTCAATTAGGGATTTGGTTATATGTAATGGGAAGTTATTATTAATTAGAATGTCTTTTATTTTTAATTTGTTTTGGAAATGAAATTGTTCGTCGCTTATTGTTAGTACTCTATTTATTAAGTTTTTCGCTGTATTGATAATTGTTCGTTTTGTGTGTTTAGAGTAGTAATTTATTATTCTACCTGACGCTGTAGGTTTTTGATACCAATTTATATTTATCGTATTATCTGCATTTCTTATTACTAATGTGTCCAAATATGGGATTTTTCCGTCGCATTCTTCTTCCAAAGTAAATTTATATATATTTTTATATTTTTTCAGAAAAAAGTCGTGGATTTATAAAAAAATATTTTTTCTCAGATTTTTTAAAAAATATTTTTTCTCAGATTTTTTAAAAAATATATGTTTTCTCAGAAAAAAGTCGTGGATTTATAAAAAAAAATATTTTTTCTCAGATTCTCAGATTTTTTAAAAAATATATATTTTCTCAGAAAGTCGTGGATTTATTAAAAAAATATTTTTTCTCAGACAAAAGTCGTGGATTTATTTAAAAAAATATTTCTTTCTCAGACAAAAGTCGTGGATTTATTATAAAAATATTTTTTCTCAGACAAAAGTCGTGGATTTATTTAAAAAAATATTTTTTCTCAGACAAAAGTCGTGGATTTATTTAAAGAAATATTTTTTCTCAGACAAAAGTCGTGGATTTATTAAAAACAAAAATATTTTTTCTCAGACAAAAGTCGTGGATTTATTTAAAGAAATATTTTTTCTAAGACAAAAGTCGTGGATTTATTAAAAACAAAAATATTTTTTCTCAGACAAAAGTCGTGGATTTATTAAAAACAAAAATATTTTTTCTCAGACAAAAGTCGTGGATTTATTTAAAGAAATATTTTTTCTCAGACAAAAGTCGTGGATTTATTAAAAACAAAAATATTTTTTCTAGGACCAAAGACGTGAATTTAAAAAAAAAATTCTAGGACCAAAGACGTGAATTTAAAAAAAAAAAATTCTAGGACCAAAGACGTAGATTTACAAAAAAAAAAATATTGAGCGTTTTAAATATTCGCTTATTGGTGGTGCATACTTTTACGATGCAGATTCTTCCGAGCTACAAAATCTTTTTGAAGTTTATTACGGACTAGTCTATTTTTAGGCACTTATTTTTTTTCGTGTTAAAAGATTATATTCATTGCTTATCAAAGACTAGTCTCCTTGCCATATGCCCCATAATTTTATCTATTGAGCCATTGCAATAATAAGAGAGAATTAAAATTGTGGAAAATACTTTTAGGCGGACTTTTTATGTATACATTTCATGCAGAAATAGTTCAGGAATTAATTAAAATGTGTCGTTGTAACTATTTTAGATTAGTAGTGGTGCATTCTTTTAGGCACCCACATACTTGTTTTTTCGGATCATATTATTTTTCAAGGTTATTACAGACTAGTTTTTCAATATGCATTGAGCCATTGCAATTTTTAGAGAGCAATTCATTTGTGGTGCATAATTTTAGGCGGACTTTTTATTTTGACGCTTATACTAACGATTTTGAAGTGTTGGAGATTTTTTCTAGGTCCATACTTTTGGCATACTTCATTTTCTTTGAATTGTAAATATATAACTTGTAACTATCTTCATTCCAAATTTGATCTATTGAGCCATTGCAATACTAAGAGAGCGGTATAAATTTGTGAAGCATACTTTTAGGCGCCCATAAAGTATTGATTATCGTAATCATATTTCAAAAATAAGCTAAGCGTTATTGTATTTTTCCACATATAAGTTATTTTCTACTAATTGTATGTAATTCTCACATTAAAATCTATAAATTTTAGGAACTTTCGTACTCACCTCTACTGAAATTGTAAACAATGGTGCATGCACCGGACCAGTTTGTGACTCCAACTTGTAAACCAAACCATGCCGCAGCTCATTTAACATGGCTACTGTATTCTTTGGTTGTGGTACACGTTCCTTGCTGGTGCGTGGTTTCTTCTTTGGTGTTCCTGTAAGGAAATTACACAAAACACGAGATTATAATAGAAAATAGAACTTTTTTTCTAAAAAGTTTCCTAAGATTTTTAGAGCCAATACGTTATAAAAAAATATGATCGCCTAAAAATATGTTCTAGGGAAACATTTCTTTTTCGAAAAATGCTTCCTTCCTGTAACATTGAAAAATATATCAAAATTTTGGAACATAGATTTTTCAGACTAAAAAAATCTCAATTATAAAAAAAAAACTTAATTCCTGACGACCAATATTATTGAAAAATTTAAAAAGTTACCAACTCTCAGTTCATTAGGATTGATATTTGTTTTTAAAAAAAAATATTCAATTTAAAACGATTGTTTTTTTTTTTCTGGAAAAAAATTTGCCTTTTCTTTTTTAACAATTTTCAATTTTTAACAAAATCCTCAATTCTAGATGATAAACTCCAGCTGTCTCCAACTCCAGAAGACAACTTTTTTCTTTAGAAAAAAATACATCGGCTCCTCAAGACAGTTTCTTGATGTGAAATTTATTTCATAAAGAAAAAAAATGGTGCAAATACTAAGGGGAGTTTTTTTTTCTTTGGGGGGGGGGGCTTATATCGTTTTTATGAGCATTTTGGTTATTCAAAATTTTATTCCGTTGTGGGGCAGTACCAGAGATTTGTCGTGCGCTTCAGCCATACAGACGAACGCTTTAAATGTTATATTCCCTCTGTAGCCATATGACCCAGAGATACAAATTCCCCAGTTCCTTAGGACCAAATTAGGACCGAATATTATCACGAAAATATTCTGTAGGGTGTATTAAAGCCTTGGGCCCACAAACATTTTGGCCGCAGACCATGGACATTCCAACAGGACTCAGCACCATCGCACTCAGCACGCCACAACCACTACTCAAGAATGATTACAAAATAAGGTTCCTCGCTTCATGTCCAACGCACAATAGCCACCAAAATCTTCGGATAACAATCCGTTGGACTATTGTGTCTGGCACTAAAAAATACCATAGTGTCGATCACCTCAAGAAAGCGCTTCGCCGGGAATGGGCAAAAAAATACCGCAGAGCAACCTTTGGGCAGCGTGTAATGGTTTCATTGACCGTTTGAAGGCCATAAGTCGTGCCAAAGGTAACCAATTCGAACTAATCTAAACTTATTCTAAAATTGTATGCTATTTCCGACATTTTTTGCTTTCATTCAATAAAATTTAACCAGTAAAGAAAGTCTTAACGTTGGGCGGGGCCGGCATTATGATATCCTACACCACTTTGCTAATTTAGTAGAGCTGCGCATAACAAAAGTTTTTATGGGAGATATGATTATAATTATAATTTAAAGTTCAAAGGACTAAATATGCCGAAGCATTTGTATCTTATAAATTCGGAGTTGTATTACCCATTTGGGCCACAATTAATTTGAAATCGGATAAAGATATATAGGAGAACTATATCCAAATCGGAACCGATCTCGATAAAATTTGGCAAAGATATTTCTGAGCTGTATTTGATATATTGCCCCAAATATTGTTGTTACAGAGTGCATATTGCGGCTGCAGAGGACTAAAATGACGAATCGGATGAACAATATATATAGGAGTTATAGCTATATCTGAACCGATGTTCACCAAATTTGACATACTCGCTTCTAGACTCAATTCGGTCGTAAGTGATAAATTTCATCCCATTTGGGAAAATATTAGACATTTGGTGCCCAATAAAAGGTAAATCGGACGAAGTTATATATGGGAGATATATCCAAATCTGAACCGATATCCATACAATTTAGCAAGGGTATTTCTGAGCTATATTTGATATATTTCCCTGAATATCGTTGTTACGGAGTGCATATTACGGCTGTGGGTTACAAATATAACAAATCGGATGAACAATATATATGAGAGCTATAGCTATATCTGAACCGATTTCGATTAAATTTGGCATACTCATTTTCAGGCCTAATTTAGTTGTATGTGTAAAATTCCATACTATTCGGGCAGATATTACACGTTTGGTGCATAATAAAAAGTAAATCGGACGAAGTTATTTATGGGAGATATATCCAAATCTGAACCGATCTCGATAAAATTTAGCAAAGGTATTTCTGAGCTGTATTTGACATATTTCCCCAAATATTGTTGTTACAGAGTGCATATTACGGCTGTGGGCAACAAATAAAACAAATCGGATGAACAATATATATGAGAGCTATAGCTATATCTGTACCGATTTCGATCAAATTTGGCATACTCATTTTCGGCCCTAATTTAATTGTATGTGCAAAATTCCATACTATTCGGGCAGATATTAGACGTTTGGTGCACAATAAAAAGTAAATCGGACGAAGTTATATATGGGAGCTATATCCAAATCGGAACCGATCTCGATAAAATTTGGCAAAGATATTTCTGAGCTGTATTTGATATATTTCCCCAAATATTGTTATTACAGAGTGCATATTACGGTTGTGGAGGACTAAAACAACAAATCGGATGAACAATATATATGGCAGCTATAGCTATATCTGAACCGATTTCGATCAAATTTGGCATACTCATTTTCAGGCCTAATTTAGTTGTATGTTGGAAATTCCACACTATTCGGGCAGATATTACACGTTTGGTGCACAATAAAAAGTAAATCGGACGAAGTTATATATGGGAGCTATATCCAAATCTTAACGGATTTCGATAAAATTTAGCAAATGTATTTCTGAGCTGCATGTGATATATTTCCCCAAATATTGTTGTTATAGAGTGCATATTACGTCTGCGGAGGACTAAAATAACAAATCGGATGAAAAATATATATAAGACCTATAGCTATATCTGAACCCATTTCAATCAAATTTGGAATACTTATTATCAGGCCTAATGTGGTTGTATGTGCGAAATTCCATACTATTCGGGCTGCTATTACACGTTCGGTGCACAATAAAAAGTAAATCGGACGAAGTTATATATGGGAGCTATATCTAAATTTTGACCGATTATCTCCAATTTCAATAGGGTTCGTCTTTGAGCCAAACAAATGATTTGTGCAAAATTTCATCTGGATAGGACAATAAATGCGAACTGTACTTTGTTTACAGACATACACGGACAGACGGACAAACAGACGGACGGACGTGCATAAATCGACTCAGAATGCGATTCTATGCAGATCATCAAAAGAAACTATGGGTCTATCTCGTTTCCTTTTGCCTGTTACAAATAAATGCACAAAGGCATAATACCCTGAACACTTTGTGGTGTAGGGTATAAAAAATCATTCTAAATTTTTGGGGGTTTCAAATGACGAAATTAAAATACTTCCTAAAACATTGTGTGCAAAGATAAAGAAAAGCTCTTTAAATAGCTCATTGCATTTGAAACTATAGCTGCTAATTTGCCTCTCAAAGCATTGATGGTTATCAATTATAAAAAAAAAGCTTGGCGAAACACAATTCGACATCATCAATGAGGGGCATCCCCAAGTAAAAGCTGTTTTTTGTTTGTTTGTTTTGACAAGCAAATGCTTCGTCGACTATAGACTATAAACAAAATGATGACGAATACACACAACAACAATCTGACCACAAGTGATCATGAAAACCCAGAGCAAAACAATAACAATGCCGGCACACAAAAAAGAGCGCTCAGCGACTCTTGTTTCATTACCAATAAATTCTTTAAAGAGTTCCAATTCTTTGCGTTTCATTTCTTCAGAAAGTGACGTCTGCCTCTTCCGCTTCATGCATTGTTTTGCAAACGTCACTTTATTCTCCAGAGAAATTTCATTCTCAATTTGCCTCCCCTCTTCATCGTTGCTTGAATTGGATGGTTCACTTTTGCTTTCCAATTCACTCTTTGGATCTTCTTCACTTTTTGTAATTTTCACGAGCAGAGATTTTATTTCGGTGATCTCTTTTGACAAATCATTTATTTTCTTTAACAAATCACAACAATTTTGAGGACCACCACTGGAATTTTGGTCCACATTTTCTAATTTATGGCCACATTCTGTGCGAAACATTGTGCGACACTCATTGCAAATAAATCCAAAATCTTCATCCATTTGATCGGAAGAAACGCGCGACGCTACCGACATTTTGTTCTGAACTCGTTACGTTCTTAATGCGTACTGAAGCATTCGGGGAGCACATAAACGGGAGAGCGAAATTGAGAGAGGGAGAAAGAGTTGGGGCAATACAACGGTTTTATAAACAAAAGTAATGGTGAGAGACCGGCAATGACTAAACTTGTATGGAATTAACAGGGATGTCGATTGGGAAAAATACCAAAGAGAGGAGAAATACAAATAAACTAGGGGGTTGGGATAATTTGCAGATTTATGGAAAAAAAATAGAATTTTTCCATTTTTAAGAACAATTGTTTAGGACCAAATCAAATTAAGACCCGTAAAGAAAGTCTTAAAGAAGGGCGGGACTGACTTTATGATACCCTACACCACTTTGCTAATTTAGTAGAGCTTCGAATGACAATAAACAAATTTTATGGGAGAATTCAATCATACACGCTATGATTATAATTATAATTTAAAGTTTAGAGGACTAAATATGCCGAAGCATTTGTATCTTTTAAATTCGGACATGTATTGCTCATTTGGTGCACAATTAATTTGAAATCGGATAAAAATATATATGGGAGCTATATCCAAATCGGAACCACAGTCGATAAAATTTGGCAAAGATATTTCTGAGCTGTATTTGATGTATTTCCCCGAATCTCGTTGTTACGGAGTGCATATTACGGCTGTGGGTAACAAATATAACAAATCGGATGAACATTATATATGGGTGCTATAGCTATATCTGAACCGATCTTCACCAAATTTGACATACTAGCTTCTAGACTCAATTCGGTCGTAAGTGCCAAATTCCATCCCATTTGGACAAATATTAGACTTTTGGTGCACAATAAAAGGTAAATCGGACGAAGAAGTTATATATGGGAGATATATCCAAATCTGGACCGATTTCGATAAAATTTAGCAAAGGTATTTCTGAGCTGTATTTGATATATTTTCCCATATATTGTTGTTATAGAGTGCATATTACGGCTGAGGATGACTAAAATAACAAATCGGATGAACAATATATATGGGAACTATAGCTACATCTGAACCGATTTCAATCAAGTTTGGCATATTTATTTTCAGGCCTAATTTGGTTGTATGTGCAAAATTCCATACTATTCGGGCTGATATTACACATTTGGTGCACAATAAAAGGCAAATCGGACGAAGTTATATATGGGAGCTATATCCAAATTGGAACCGATCTCTATAAAATTTAGCAAAGGTATTTCTGAGCTGCATGTGATATATTTTCCCAAATATTGTTGTTACAGAGTGCATATTATGGCTGCGAGGACAAAAATAACAAATCGGATGAACAATATATATGGGAGCTATAGCTAAATCTGAACCGATTTCGATCAAATTTGGCATACTTATTTTCAGGCCTAATTTGGTTGTATGTGCAAAATTCTATAGTATTCGGGCTGATATTACACGTTTGGTGCACAATAAAAGGCATATCGGATGAAGATTTATATGGGAGCTATATCTAAATTTTGACCGATTATCTCCAATTTCAATAGGGTTCGTCCTTGGGCCAAACAAATGATTTGTGCAACATTTCATCTGGATCGGGCAATAAATGCGAGCTGTACTTTGTTCACAAAAATACATGGGCAGACGGACGTACGGACGGATAGACGGACGGACATGCATAAATCAACTCAGAAAGTGATTCTATGCAGATCATCAAAAGCAACTATGGCTCTATCTCGTTTCCTTTTGCCTGTTACAAGCAAATGCACAAAGACATAATATTCTGACCCCCTTTGTGGGGTAGGGTATAAAAATCTAGAAGAGCCCTTTAGAATAAATCTGAAGGGTTCTGAGAGTACAAATGTTGATTTTAATGAATAAAACTAGAAGCTGCCGATGCGAAATATTTTTATGGGACTGTAAATTCAAAAGCGTGGATTTAAAATAAAAAGACAATGAATATTTTTTTTAAATAATTTATGGACTCCTGAGATTTTTTTTTAAGAATTCCTCAATGAATTTTGAAGAATGTTTAGGCCGAGGTTAAAATAATTTTTTTAAGAGCATCGGAATCCCAAAATATTCATTAACATTTGCCTCACGTTTTTAACCCAATTTTTAAAAAAAGAACCAAAAAGACCCTCTCTAGTCAGATTATTTTGCAAAGTAAGCTTTTAAAATGCCCATGCACGTGTCTACTATTTTTGGCTCTACTTTCATAATCTGCCAAATTTTCCCTGTAATTATTTAAAAAAAAAAAACAAGTAAAAAAACATTAAGTTCGGCCCGGCCAAACTTTTAATACCCTCCACCTTAGGGTAAAAGAAACATTAGAAGAAATGTGGCAAAAACCATTAAAATGCCGAATATCGGGAGGTACCGTTATATGGGGGCTACACCAAAACGTGGACCTATAATTACAATGTTTCGCTACACAAACTAGGACCCATTAGGACCCACAAATACCAATTTTTAGACAAAGCAGTGAAAAAATGTGGTAAAAAAAAACTAAAATACCGAATGTCGGGAGGTACTGTTATATTGGGGCTATACCACAACGTGGACCTATACATGCAATGTTTTGCCACACGCTCAGGGACCCGTTATGACCTACAAATACCAATTTCCAGACCAATCCGTGAAAAAATGTGGCATAAATCATCAAAATACCGAATATCGGGCGGTACCGTTATATGGGGACTATACCAGAACGATGGACCGATATATCTCACTATCAATACCAACCATCCTAGACACAATGCAAATAGCTCTGCTAAATTTTGGCGCTCTACGTCAAATAATGTGGGCTGTATCGTGATTTCAACAGACAGACAGACAGACAGACGGACATCGTTAAATCGACTTAGAATTTTATGCTGATTATGAATATATATACTTTATGGGGTCTAAGACGAATATTTAAGGATGTTACAAACGGAATGACAAAGTTAATATACCCTCCTTTCCAAGGTGGAGGGTATAATAAAATTGAATTTTGCCGCACAGTGATATTATTTGTTATTGTGCGGCGTTTGAAATTAAAGTGGAAAAGTAATTAAAAGCAATTTAGGTCAACAACTAAATTCAGTTGATCCATTTCGGAATAGATTTCCATCTACATTGGAAGAAAGCTTTAAAATAATATATTATCAAAAAACTCACCTGAATATTTGGATCCTTCATAGCGACGCTTCGAAGGTGATTTGCGACTGTAGCCATTCATGTCGTACGATGGTGTTAATACGTTCTGTAAAGAAATGAAAAATATTTAATTTAATAATAATAATTTTTTTACAGTAGAAGAAACTGGCAGATTTTCAAACTAAAAACGTGTAATCCTGAAAAACAAGGCTAAAAGATGTCGCCCAATAATAAAACAAAAAAATCATCGTGTTTTCCATTTCGCATTCTAATTAAGCCATCCACACACACATAGAGAGGGACAGAGAGAGAGAGGGAGAGGGAGAGAGAAACAGAACAACTAGAAATTGTTTACAATTTCGTTTGATTTTTGCGGTGGAATTGACATGGCCGGTTGTGGTCTCATTATCGACAACATTGTGTCCATGTAGTTGGGCGACTGTGTGTGCATTCAAGTGTTTGAAACCCAGAGCTAACCAATTTCCGTTTCCTGTTTGCGTTTTTCCACCAATTATTTATTAATTAATTTTCGTTGTTCTAATTGTTGTTTGAATTCGAGTGACCGAGTTTTGTTTTTCTTTTGCTGTCCAGAAAAAAAAAACACAAATATTTGTTTGCAGCATCTATTCGTACAACAATGTTTGGATTTAACAACAATTTGCAATTGTTTGCGACTCAAAATGGTTGTATTTCAAAAAAAAAATAAAACAAGGGAAAAACGTTGTTTGGCCAAATTTATGCTAATTCGATTTAAGTTGTTTTTTTGGCATAGCGCGAAATTGTAAATAACGTTTTTTATACCCTACACCACAAGGTGGCCAGGGTAATATGTCTTTGTGCATTTGTTTGTAACAGGCAAAAGGAAACGAGATAGAGCCATAGTTCCTTTTGATGATCTGCATAGAATCACATTCTGAGTCGATTTATGCATTTCCGTCCGTCTGTTCATTTATTTTTTTTTTTTAAACAGAGTACAGTTCGCATTTATTACCCGATCCAGATGAAATTTTGCACAAATCATTTGGTTGGCCCAAGGACGAACCCTATTGAAATTGGAGATAATCGGTTAAAATTGAGATATAGCTCCCATATATATCTTCGTCGGATTTGCCTTTTATTGTGCACCAAACGTCTAATATCAGTCAGAATAGTATAGAATCTTGCACATACAACCAAATTAGGTCTGAAAATAAGTATGCCAAATTTGATCGAAGTCGGTTCAGATATAGCTATACTTCCGATATATATTGTTCATCCGATTTGTTATTTTTGTCCTCCGCAGCCGTAATACGCACTCTGTAACAACAATATTTGGGGAAATATATCAAATACAGCTCAGAAATACCTTTGCTAAATTGAATCGAGATCGGTTCAGATTTGGCTATAGCTCCCATATATAACTTCGTCCGATTTACCTTTTATTGTGCACTAAATGTCTAATATTTTTCCAAATGGGATGTAATTTGGGACTTACGACCGAATTGGGTCTAGAAGCTAGTATGTCAAATTTGGTGAAGATCGGTTCAGATATAGCTATAGCTCCCACATAAATTGTTCATTCGATTTGTTATATTTGTTAGCCACAGTCGTAATATGCACTCCCTAACAACGATATTCAGGGAAATATATGAAATACAGCTCAGAAATATTTTTTGCCAAATTTTATCGAGATCGGTTCCGATTTGGATATAGCTCCCATATATATCTTTATACGATTTCAAATTGTGCACCAAATGGCCAATATAAGTGCGAATTTAAAAGATACAATGCTTCGTCATATTTAGTCTTTTGAACTTTTAATTATAATTATAACCAAAGCGTGTATGATTTAATTCTCCCATTAAAACTTTTAATTGTTATGCGGAGCTCTACTAAATGAGCAAAGTTGTGTAGGATATCATAAAGTCGGCCTCGCCCGACTTTAAGACTTTCTTAACCGGTTTTTTTTTTTTGGAAATTGAGGGAGTTGAAAACAGGTTTTGATACGCATCGTGTTCGGGGTGGTATGATTGATATTAATTATAATTTCACGTGGGCGTATGATGTATATCAATCAAATATAAAAGGTATACGCCACCTACTGCAATATTTGTGGGGGAGAGGTATCAGAAGGAGAGGAGGTACCAGAAGGAGTGGACCATCTTTACACCAGACCTTGTGTTAGTAGATATAATGGGATGTGAGAAATATGAAGAGAACCGAATGCTTATTTCAGATTTTATAATCGTTTTGGTTATTCAAAACTTTGACCCTTTGTGGGGGAGAACTAGAAGGAATGGTCCGATCTCTACCATCCTTATAACAGATCTTGAAATATTGAGATGTGCCAAGTCTGAGTAGAGTCGGATATTAATGTCGTGTTTTATGAGCTTCATGAATATTCAAAAATTTGACCCTTTGTGGGAGAGGTACCAGAAGGAGTGAACCCATATATTCCATCTTTACACTAGACCTTGGACTAATAAAAATATTGTGATGTATGCAATTTAAAGACAATTGGACTCTTACATCACATTTTATGAGAGTTATAATTATTCAAAACGGTGACCCTTTGTAGGGGAGATACTTGATGGTGTGGACTGATATTGTCTATTTTCGTACCTGACGTAGCATTGATGAAATTGCAAATTTGAAGCAAAATCGGATCATCCTTTCTCTTTCTGTGCACCATCCAGCAGACAAACGGACTGACATCGCTAGATCGATTCCAAATGTCCTGAAACGGGTTTGGTCCAAAGGGACCTAGGTTCAAAAACCGTTATTTCGATAATGCAGCCATGTGGCTGAGGGTATAAACAAGTTAAAAAGCAGTAAGTTCGGCCGAGGCGAACTTTGAATACCCTCCACCATTTTGATCGAACTTGGACATTTTCAAAAAATAAAATTCGTTAAAAATTCTGTTAAAATCTTAAAAATACCGAATACAGCCGTTATATTGGGGTCTATACGACGTGGACCTACATAGTCTTTGTTTGCCATAAGCCATTACCATATTCATATTCAAAACTTGAAATAAACGTTGATTAATGTAGCTAAAATCATCAAAATACCGTATATATGGAGGTAGGTTATATCGGTGCTATACGAAGACCTGGACCTACATAGACAATTTTCTGTCACAGGCAGTAGTTCCCATTACGAGCTTTAAATACGTTATTTGAAACTACTCTGTTCAGTAATGTCGCTTAAATCATCAAAATACCGAATATCGGGAGGTACCGTTATATGGGGGCTATACGAAGACGTGGACCTGCACAGACTATTCTCTGTCATAGGCTGTAGTATCCATTTCGAATTTCAAATACCAAATTTGAAACAATTCCGGTAAATAATGCCGCTAAAATCATCAAAATACCGAATATCGGGAGGTACCCATATATGGGGGCTATACGAAGACGTGGACCTGCACAGACAATTTTCTGTCATAGGCTGTAGTATCCATTTCGAACTTCAAATACGAAATTTGAAACAATTCCGGTGAATAATGTCACTAATATCATCAAAATACCGAATATCGGGAGGAGGAGAAAATGTGGACCAATATGGCCCTTTTACGAACTTAAACTGCCTACTGTCAAAATAAACATGTATGCAAAATTTTAGCCTTCTATCTCAATTCGTTCGAAAGATAGCGTGATTACCACAGACAGACGGGCAGACAGACGAAAATCGCTAAATCGACTTAGAATTTTAAGCTGATCAAGAATATATTTCGAGGAGTTACAAACGAAATGACAAAGTTAATATACCCTCCATAGTATGGTGGAAGGTATAAAAAGTATGCGCGACGTTATCCAAATTAATTTCCAGGACTAACTTGGAGAAAAAAATTTCAGGACAAACAAGACGTGAATTTTTTTTAAAGGAAACATTTTCAAGATTTCAGTTATGCCATCGTTACTCACTAGTTGGTACGGAAAATATTATTTTCTGGTAAATCTTACATGGCTACCAATTTCTCCAACCTTACATTGCTATAATCACTAATTCCCAGAACCATATCTTCGATCATATCCCTGATATGAGTCCTTCTGCGAAAATAGAAAATGCAAAAGCAAGTGATTTTCCTTTGTTTTGCTATGCTCCAGAAAACCAAACAACTACCATTTCTTCTCCACCCTGTTTCAGGTCAAGCAAAGGGCGCTTACTCTCCTTGCTAGCCCCCACCAAACTAGAGGTAATTTATTTAAGTTTTCCTTACAGCCTATAAATATGCAACTGCTGATTTAGTGTAAATGTTTGGTTTATTTGTTTTGTTCGCTGTGCGTTCGTTCGTTCGTTCCTTCGGTGGTGGGGTTTGTTTTTGGTTGAGCAAAGTTATGTTTTAAAACACTTGAATAATATTTTGAACAAAAATAATGCAAAGAAACCGCACAGCTGAGCTGGAGGGGAGGAGAGGGAATGGTGAGAGTGAGGAGTTGATGTTGATGGTAGATACGAATGCGGTTATAGGTAGCTATTAACTTGAAACGCAGTGCAAACATGCGGTTGAAAAAAAGCAAAAAAAGAACAATGGTATCCAAGAAACACCACAACTTTAACAACAACATTTTGCAATTCCAAAAACAACAACAACAAAGTGGCAACTACCACTTTTGCCATAAATATTCATACGGCTGCCTAGAAGTATGTGGCGTATTTGCAAATTCACAAACAAACAACTAATTTTTTTCTCTAGTCTACTTTTAGGTGTTCACAGTTGGTTGGTATTCCCAAACAGATAGTCCTGACGTTTTAGGCATTTCTACTAGGTTAAAATGGTTTATAGTATTTTCCTTTGCTGAGGAAAAAAAATAGAGAAAAAATCATAAACGAAGTTGCCAGCAAATAAACTACTGCCTACCTTTAGGCGGCTTTCAAATTTAATTTAAATAACTAAACAAAAGACAAAACGGGGAAAAGGGGAGTAGAGAGAGAGAAATAATGGAATGCATTTTTGCTCTGCAACATTTTTTAACGGCACGTCGTATCTATTTCAAAGCAAAAAAAGGAGAAGGGAAAATCAGTGATATTATCACCAGGATAACAATTTTCGTTGTCACTACACGAACGACGACGACGATGATGATGACTGCGACTAGGACGACGACAAAGCATACGTGCTTG